CAGCTGTGGGGTCTTAAGAACAGCTGTGGGGTCTTAAGAACAGCTGTGGGGTCTTAAGAACAGCTGTGGGGTCTTAAGAACAGCTGTGGGGTCTTAAGAACAGCTGTGGGGTCTTAAGAACAGCTGTGGGGTCTTAAGAACAGCCGTGGGGTCTTAAGAACAGCTGTGGGGTCTTAAGAACAGCCGTGGGGTCTTAAGAACAGCCGTGGGGTCTTAAGAACAGCTGTGGGGTCTTAAGAACAGCTGTGGGGTCTTAAGAACAGCTGTGGGGTCTTAAGAACAGCTGTGGGGTCTTAAGAACAGCTGTGGGGTCTTAAGAACAGCTGTGGGGTCTTAAGAACAGCTGTGGGGTCTTAAGAACAGCCGTGGGGTCTTAAGAACAGCTGTGGGGTCTTAAGAACAGCTGTGGGGTCTTAAGAACAGCTGTGGGGTCTTAAGAACAGCTGTGGGGTCTAAAGAACAGCTGAGGGATCTTAAGAACAGCTGTGGGGTCTTAAGAACAGCTGAGGGGTCTTAAGAACAGCTGTGGGGTCTAAAGAACAGCTGAGGGATCTTAAGAACAGCTGTGGGGTCTTAAGAACAGCTGAGGGGTCTTAAGAACAGCTGTGGGGTCTTAAGAACAGCTGTGGGGTCTTAAGAACAGCTGAGGGGTCTTAAGAACAGCTGTGGGTCTTAAGAACAGCTATGGGTCTTAAGAACAGCTGTGGATCGTTGATCGCTAAGGATCGTTGATCACAAAGGATCATTGATCGCAAAGGATCGTTGATCGCAAAGGATCGTTGATCGCAAAGGAATCGTTGATCGCAAAGGATCGTTTATCGCTAAGGATCGTTGATCGCTGAAGATCGTTGATCGCAAAGGATCGTTGATCGCAAAGGAATCGTTGATCGCAAAGGATCGTTGATCGCAAAGGATCGTTGATCGCAAAGGATCGGTGATCGCTAAGGATCGTTGATCGCAAAGGATCGTTGATCGCAAAGGATCGGTGATCGCTAAGGATCGTTGATCGCAAAGGAATCGTTGATCGCAAAGGAATCGTTGATCGCAAAGGAATCGTTGATCGCAAAGGATCGTTGATCGCAAAGGATCGTTGATCGCAAAGGATCGTTGATCGCAAAGGAATCGTTGATCGCAAAGGATCGTTTATCGCAAAGGAATCGTTGATCGCAAAGGATCGTTGATCGCAAAGGATCGTTGATCGCAAAGGATCGTTGATCGCAAAGGAATCGTTGATCGCAAAGGAATCGTTGATCGCAAAGGAATCGTTGATCGCAAAGGATCGTTGCAACTAGCTGTTCCAATGGCCTGAACGCTCCTCTGTGTGGGGGCTCCACCTGCTCCCTCATTTTCGGGGGGGGGAGGAATGATTCACTCATTCCCATATAGGTGTAACTTGTAGGTGCGTGTTGGGGGTTGATGTTAAGGGGAAGAGTCTCTCTCTCTCTCCCTGTATTTATGTCATCTTTAGCATTATTTGATGTCACTTATGTATCGATATATCTTCCTCTGTGTCTGAATTTACCCGAGGGACCCTATCTCTCCCCAGTCAATCATGGTCGGTGTTTGGAGAGGCTGGTGTGTGTGTGTGTGTGTGTGTGTGTGTGTGTGTGTGTGTGTGTGTGTGTGTGTGTGTGTGGACGTTTGTCTTATAAACAATATCCCGCCTCTTCACGCAAGATGCTCTGATGCCACCAGCCTCTTCTCAGACACTTTTAGTGCTCATCTGGAGCCCTCGGTGTGCTCCCCTCTACAGCCACAGAGGAGGAGTGAGGGGATGACACACACACACACACACACACACACACACACACACACACACACACACACACACACACACACTCCGGGATGCTACACATGCACAAAACTGAAATAATGATATGAAAGATGGCTGCGCGACTTCAACTGAAGTATATGTAATGTAATGAAAGTTAGAAAAGGAACAGAGAGACCACAAAGTCAGTACACAAGGAGATGAAGACAGCTCATGGAATTGCAAAGGAAAAATTACTATAAAATAAGCAGAATTTAAAGCCCTTCTGCAGAATAACATGTCGAGAGGCTCACGTTAACCGTATCTGACAAATGAGAAAAAACTTATGTTTCTACAATATGAAAAATGGAAATGAGTAGACATGTTCGTGGCATATAAGATCCTAAGAATCATTAAGAAATTAAACGATGATAATATATTAGGTAGATATATAGATATAGATATATATTAGGAATATATTAGGTAGAAATGGAACAGCTTACTGAGAGGTCATGACTGGAAACTCAGGACAGAGCTATCCCAACCACTTGGGCTGGACGGTAGAGCGACGGTCTCGCTTCATGCAGGTCGGCGTTCAGTCCCCAGCCGTCCAAGTGGTTGGGCACCATTCCTTCCCCACGTCCCATCCCAAATCCTTATCCTGACCCCTTCCCTGTGTTATATAGTCGTAATGGCTATGTGCTTTCCCCCAATAGTTCCCTTCCCTTCAGGACAGAGCTGCTATTGAATTGCAATTTACTAAATTAGGATGAATACCAATTTCGAGGTTACTCCCAATTACGGCACCACAGTTATTGTTTTCTCTGCTGTTACAAAAGCTGTTCTTAATCACTGTTCTTAATAACTGGCACATCGGAGCTCGTTAGAGGGAGTCGTTAGCGAGAGTGTAATTTCTGTGTCAATATATTCAAGAGGAAGAGGAGTTGGGTTTCCCACCGAGAGCCTCTTTCTTCCCCGAGGCCAAGGGTCCTTAATAACTGAACTAGAGCTTGCTAAGCTCCTGCTAATTGAACTAGAGCTCATTGAGCCCCTCTACTGCTAATTTAAAAAAAAAAGTCTAAGGGAAGGGACCTAGCAGAACAAAGCACCAAGCCATTACGACTATATAGCACTTGGAAGGGGTCAGGATAAGGATTTGGGATGGGACGGGGGGGAGAAAGGAATGGTGCCCAACCACTTGTGGACGGTCTCGGGGGATTGAACGCCGACCTGCATGAAGCGAGATCGTCGCTCTACCGTCCAGCCCAAGTGGTTGGGACAAGGAAATCTTGAGGAAATCCTTCACAAAGGAATGATTATCCTGGGCCAAACCCGGACGATAGTTCCAACAATAATACAAGGAGTAATTTGATGTTTCGAACCATTAGCTCTGAGGCTCATACGAGCACCACGAGGCAAATATGAGCACCACGAGGCTCATACGAGCCCCGCGAGGCTCATATGAGCACCACGAGGCTCATATGAGCCCCGCGAGGCTCATATGAGCACCGTGAGGCTCATATGAGCACCGTGAGGCTCATATGAGCACCACGAGGCTCATATGAGCACCACGAGACTCATATGAGCACCGCGAGGCTCATATGAGCACCACGAGGCTCATATGAGCACCACGAGGCTCACACGAGCACCACGAGGCTCATATGAGCTCCACGAGGCTCATATGAGCACCGTGAGGCTCATATGAGCACCGTGAGGCTCATATGAGCACCGTGAGGCTCATATGAGCACCACGAGACTCATATGAGCACCACGAGACTCATATGAGCACCGTGAGGCTCATATGAGCACCGTGAGGCTCATATGAGCACCGTGAGGCTCATATGAGCACCGTGAGGCTCATATGAGCACCGTGAGGCTCATATGAGCACCGTGAGGCTCATATGAGCACCGCGAGGCTCATATGAGCACCGTGAGGCTCATATGAGCACCGTGAGGCTCATATGAGCACCGTGAGGCTCATATGAGCACCGTGAGACTCACACGAGCACCACGAGGCTCATATGAGCACCGCGAGGCTCATATGAGCACCACGAGACTCACACGAGCACCACGAGGCTCATATGAGCACCGCGAGGCTCACACGAGCACCACGAGGCTCATATGAGCACCGCGAGGCTCACACGAGCACCACGAGGCTCATATGAGCTCCACGAGGCTCATATGAGCACCACGAGACTCACACGAGCACCGCGAGGCTCATATGAGCACCACGAGACTCACACGAGCACCACGAGGCTCATATGAGCACCGCGAGGCTCACACGAGCACCATTGGGCTCATATGAGCACCGCGAGGCTCATACGAGTCCCGCGAGGCTCATATGAGCACCGCGAGGCTCATATGAGCACCACGAGGCTCATATGAGCACCACGAGGCTCATATGAGCCTCACGGGCTCATATGAGCACCGTGAGGCTCATATGAGCACCGTGAGGCTCATATGAGCACCACGAGGCTCATATGAGCACCGCGAGGCTCATATGAGCACCACGAGGCTCATATGAGCACCACGAGGCTCATATGAGCACCACGAGGCTCATATGAGCACCACGAGGCTCATATGAGCACCACGAGGCTCATATGAGCACCGCGAGGCTCATATAAGCACCACGAGGCTCATATGAGCACCGTGAGGCTCATATGAGCACCGTGAGGCTCATATGAGCACCACGAGGCTCATATGAGCACCGCGAGGCTCATATGAGCACCACGAGGCTCATATGAGCACCACGAGGCTCATATGAGCACCACGAGGCTCATATGAGCACCACGAGGCTCATATGAGCACCACGAGGCTCATATGAGCACCACGAGGCTCATATGAGCACCGCGAGGCTCATATGAGCACCACGAGGCTCATATGAGCACCGTGAGGCTCATATGAGCACCGTGAGGCTCATATGAGCACCACGAGGCTCATATGAGCACCGCGAGGCTCATATGAGCACCACGAGGCTCATATGAGCACCACGAGGCTCATATGAGCACCACGAGGCTCATATGAGCACCACGAGGCTCATATGAGCACCACGAGGCTCATATGAGCACCGCGAGGCTCATATGAGCACCGCGAGGCTCATATGAGCACCGCGAGGCTCACATAAGTCAACTCTCACCCATCACCTTCCTCCTCCCAAACAACTTACACTCTTTGCAATTCTTCACTCGATCCGCTATCCCCAGTGAGAGCGCCTCTTCCCCTCCAATCATATCAATTCCCTACTCGGATATCATTCTTCTCGGATATCATTCTTCTCAAACTTCCACGGCTTGTCCCTGACCTTTTCTCCCCCAATCATCTTTCTCTTCATCTGACCTTCGACCTTCCTTGAAGTTACGGCCGGCACCGTATGACCCCTCGCCTGTTGGAGAGGCAAGATTTACTGTAAGGGTCAATAACTCGATTTCATCCCTGGGTTATCTTGAAGCTGTTATCTTGAAGGTTATGTTGAGGCTGTTTCTTCCTCATCTGTGCCGAGATGGAGGACCTGCTCCGAGCTCGGAGACAAAGTTGGTTTTTCTGACGTTTATTATCGAGGAGCGTTGTTAGGGGGCTTATGGGTCTTTCTCAGTCTCCCCTTCTATCTTTTGTCTCGTCTGAGCCCGCTTTCTTTGTTTCTGTTTCGTGTATTCACCTAGTTGTATTCCCACTAGTTGTGCTTGCGGGGGTTGAGCTCTGCTCTTTCGGCCCGCCTCTCAGCTGTCAATCTATCAACTGTTACTAACTACTTTTTTTTTTCCCACACTGACACACACCTCAGGAAGCAGTCCGTAGCAGCTGTCTAACTCCCAGGTACCTGTTAACTGGTAGGTAACAGGAGCATCAGGGTTAAGGAAACTCTGCCCATCTGTCTCCGCTGGGTGCGGGGATCGAACCCCGGTCCCTAGGTCCACGAGTCTAGAGCGCTGTCCAATCGGCCACCTAACCGTGTGTGTGTGTTTGTGTGTGTGTGTGTGTGTGTGTGTGTGTGTGTGTGTGTGTGTGTGTGTGTGTGTGTGTGTGTGTGTGTGTGTGTGTGTGTATAGTAAACGTGAGAGACAAAGCACTATCTCAGGCACTATTTACAACCAATAAGAGGCGGTCTTCTCGAACAAACTCTTATTCTTCAACGGGACTGAATCTGAGAGCCTTTCAGTTGGTGCCAGCATACATAGTGTGTATGGCTCTTGGTTCTGGACTGTCTGCTCCAGTGACTTGTTGCACCTCATTCCTGCAACTCAGCTGATGACTGTAACCTAACCTAACCTAAGCTAACCGTACCCTTTACATGTGGCGAAGAAGAAATACCAACTGCTACGAGGGTCATTGATCACAACTTGCAGCAACATTACTTGAAGAAGGTGATGTCTCATGTCTCATTTGTGCCTGAGAAAACACAGTCGATGTTAATAACGAGACTGAAAGATATTGCAAACCGGACTGGCACTCACATGAGTGGCTGAAACCTTGTGTTTAGTGATGAAGTCGACATTCTAGAAATGAAGTTTTACTCTTCAGTGACCTTGAAATGTCACGTGTTGAACTTAGCAAGCAAGGCAGCCGAGACACTTACAGCCCAGTGACCTTGAAATGTCACGTGTTGAACTGAGCAAGCAAGGCAGCCGAGACACTTACAGCCCGACGATGCATCTCACACCTCGACAACAAGTGGTTGTATAACCTTTATGAGGCACAAGTGTGCTCCCGTCTTGAGAATCCCACCTGTACCATCTGGAGAACTGTGCCAGAGGACTTGTCTGTATTCTTGATCTTTGCTGGTTGAACTTGTCTGAACATCAGAGCCTTCAGCACATGCGAGATGTTTGTGGAATTATTGTTATATATAAGGCCAATGTTCTCAAAGTTCCTCACTTGGCACAACTTCATGGACAATCAAATTTGGCACCCATAACACAAGGCGCTCAGCTATCAACAGCCTCGTGTTGGTAACGCGTCTCTCAACAACATCACTCCATCACCGATTATGCATTCCTAGACTGACTGATATTTGGAGTTTGTTGGTTCAACACGATGATAGGCGGGAAATCAGGTCAACTGAACATATGAAGGCTCTGGCACACAGCTGGTTCCTGGCTCATCCTGTTCCTTACACGATTGTCAGCACTGAAGTTTATTCCGAATGGATACAAATAATAATCTCATCAAATGAGTCTCTAGGGGCAGGCTTGAGGTGACCTGATGTAGAATAACAGTTCTTAGCTTGCAGAGAGAGAGAGAGAGAGAGAGAGATACAGAAAGAGAGGGGAGGGGGAGGGAGAGAGAGAGAGAGAGAGAGAGAGAGAGAGAGAGAGAGAGAGAGAGAGAGAGAGAGAGAGAGAGAGAGAGAGAGAGAGAGAGAGAGAGAGAGAGAGAAGCCTTCCCTCCATCATGAAGGTCAGTACCATGCTCTCCACTCCAAATTTCACGTCCACACTAACGTTCTTCAAGACACCGCCTTGCTCTGTACTCCCACCACTCACGCCTCCTCAGCACATCGCGAGTAAAGCCAAGGCACAAACAAAACTGCTTCACGGCCACATCAGGAGGAAAACCAGGTGTAAAGTAATGAAATTAGGCGATCGGGGAGCAGGAGGCTGAACACAAGATACCATCTGGGAGGTGAAATCCTGCGAGACAAATAGGAGAGAAAGATCTGAGGGTTTATATCACGCCGAACCTGTCCCCAGAGGCCCACATTACAGGGTGGACAAAGACAAACTCTTCAGCACGGGTGGAACACGAACAAGGGGAACACAGTTGGAAACTTAGTACCCAAATGAGCCACAGAGACGTTAGAAAGAATTGTTTCAGTGTCAGAGTAGTTAACAGGTGGAATGCATTGGGCAGTGATGTGGTGGAGGCTGACTCCATACACTGTTTTAAATGTAGATATGATAGAGCCCAGTAGGCTCAGGAATTTGTACACATGTTGATTGACAGTTGAGAGCCGGGACCAAAGAGCCAAAGCTCAACCCCCGCAAGAACAACTAGGTGAGTACAGCCTCCCATGCCCCATACCCATCCCCTCGCCCCATCTCTCATACCACTCTCCCTATTATTTTTGTACGCCACCTCATTTTCACCTCACACTCGCTTATTAATTTATTTCCACCACTAGTTTCTCCATCCTTCGCTGCTCTCAGAGCTTACTCCTCATTTTCTCCCTAGACCCTCGCTGAACTCTATATAACCTCCCCTATATTTCTCTCCTACAGTCATATTATCTAACTTTATTACTGATTTCTTCCCCACCCACCTTCCCCATTCCTTCCCCACCCACATCCCCCATTCCTTATTTCTCCCCCGCCCCGCGCCGTAAGTCTCCCCTGCCTCGGCCAGTCGTTTCTCCCCAGATTAGGTCGTCCTGACCTGGGTCAATACTGGCACTAGGAAGTGCCTTCATAACAACCATAATAACAAAAGTTATAACAACAGTAAGAGAACTTAATAGGGAAATAACAGTAGAGAACTTAACAGAGAAATAACAGTAGAGAACTTAACAGAGAAATAACAGTAGAGAACTTAACAGAGAAATACGCCAAAATTAGGTATTCAAGCCAAAGTGATTCGTAGTTGAAGGAAGTTTTCAACACAATTTGTAAAATTCATTTAAGCGACCTGTTTAGGTTGGAATGAAGTATCGTCACTATGGACCTGACTGTCAGCTTCGTCTTCCATGACTGGGAAGGTAAATCACTTCAACAAATCTCTCCAAACCATTACACAACTTGGGCACGGCGCAGGTAAGTTACAGGTAACCGAGGCATATTCTTCACCGGTACAACTGTCTCTCAAAGCCGCCCACAACATGTGAATATCCTGACAAATAACTCATCAATTCATCATAGAAATAAGAATAATTTCCTCGTTATGCTTGTGAATGATTTTACGGGGAAGCATCAGGAAGCTTATCGTTCAGAGGGCCTTGTATCATCTATATATTTAGTGGTTATTAACGCACTAACGATCAGCAAAAGCTGGTCGTTCGTGGTCATTAGTTTGAGATTGTTATTCGTTTATTTGTATAAAGTTGTTATAGAACGTACGAGCCAGGGATAGAAATGTTGTGAGATTGAAAGAGAATCATCATGATTCAATGGTGGATATCCTCTCTTCCCCGATTCAAGGGACGTGAATGGCCTGTGTGTGTGTGTGTGTGTGTGTGTGTGTGTGTGTGTGTGTGTGTGTGTGTGCGGCGAGTCTATATAATCCAAGAGAAAATCATTGGAGCGGAACGGGTATCGAACCAGCATATTCTGGGCCAGACGCGCGCCTTAACCCATTGAACCGGAACACTGGTCCTAGTATACAGGCGAGGAGTCACAATAACGTGGCTGAAGTATGTTGACCAGACCACACACTAGAAGTTGAAGGGACGACGACGTTTCGGTCCGGCCTGGACCATTCTCAATCGACTTGAGAATGGTCCAGGACGGACCGAAACGTTGTCGTCCCTTCAACTTCTAGTGTGTGTGGTCTGGTCAACACTGGTCCTAGTATTTCCCCGGCCTCCGGCTGTAATGATATTCGCATAGGTATTCACGTCATTGTGAGTTCCATATAATGTGTATACCACTGGTAGTTTCTCTCCAAGTATCTCTGCAGGAACATGAAATCTAACACTAGATATAACGGGACAACTAGTTAGTTAGTTATTCCTCACAATCGACTTGAGAATGGTCCAGGACGGACCGAAACGTCGTCGTCCCTTCACCTTCTAGTGAAGTCTGGTCAACATATTTCAGCCACGTTATTCTGACTCCTCGTCTGCATAGTTAGTTATTCCCTTTGCACGAATACGTGAATTTTGAAGTACGTTTGATCCCAAATGTTTAAAAATGTTGTAACTTATTTAGGGCAAGAAGTGACCAAAACATACCAAAAACACTCCAACCACTCGACATTTTGTAAACGTGTATCAAATAGACACAAAATAATACCCAAAGAAATTTAACCCATACCCGAACCGCTCCAAGAATGTCCAGAATAACTGCTGTTTAGCGGCCACGTGAGAATAATAATAATAATAGAAACGAATAATAGGAAGTGATGGTAGAGTTTGGTCATGCAGTTAATGTTTCCTGGTTGTGTTCTCTCCACACACGCGGTGAGTGTTTGGGATGTCGTGGACTTAACCTTTGGTCCCGGCTTAGTTGGTGTTCAGTCTCGCCTTGCTAGGTACACGAGGACACTAATCTCTTCAGTCTCACATCTGACATTCTCTTTCTCTCTCTCTCTCTTTCTCTCTCTCTCTGCGTATATGTTTCAGCTGTTTTTATGATCGCGATTTTCTTCATTTTCTGGTTTAGTTTTTGGTAACTTTGTATTGTTAAGTTAGGTTAGTTCTCATGCTTTTTTTCCCCCACACTTACCCTCTTCCAT